CCACCCGGTACCAGGCACATAGGAGAGCTCTATGAGAACATGCGGGAAACCCGTGGGAAAGAGTTTGAGTCTAACTTAACAAGATAGTAGGGATCGAAACACAATCGAAAACAAGGATAAACGATACAAAGCAAATGCAACATATATACTCATCACTCCCCAACATCTTGAATCTTATGATTTGCGTTGGAAGTTGAGAAGTTTGACAGGGTCTTAGTTCAGGTTCGGTTCTGAAGTTGCTAAATAGCAGTTTTAGATGCTGCAAATCACGCTTGAGGAAGGGGATGTGTTTTCGGCTTGGCTGTCCGCCAAGGATGCGGGAGTGGATGATTCCGACAACAAGAGTGAGTGCTAACGCAGGAGAGGATTTTTTTTTTTGATATCAAACGTTGCAGTAAATTATGGTGGAATGATGCTACGCTCATTATTCGAGCATTATCAGCATTGTGACATGGGGGCAGAAGGTTCTGAAACAGCTCTAGCCACAGCTGGTTATATCTCCATACCCGGGCATACTCCCATCATTCTCTCGTAAGTTGTTCCGTAAATTTGGTTGTGAACTCGTACGAATTTTAGACATTAATCTTTTCATTTAGTAACTGCTGTTATTCTTTCATGCATTCTAGAGAGGTCAACGGTAGAACTGTGCTTCGTCTGTTAGTACGAGACGCGGCTAACGAAGCTGAGTCGGCCTGTTTGGCTAAGGATCTTCCGGAATGGGTACTTTTGCAATAGAAAGACGATTTCCGGCAATCGTTTATGTGATTCCTTGCAGATAACAGCGGTTGTAGAGCGAAGTATGTTGCCTAAATTTACCAAGATGCCGTTTTATCTTCTCCCTCATGCTAGTCTCAATGTAAAGACGCCGAAGAAGTGAGTTTTTGTGTGGAGCCTATGTTCTCGTTTGCCTTTAAAGGGTCATATGAGTAGTGGGCTTGATTCTATGATCTCCATCCAAAACCAACTGGAGTTTAGGGACCGCTTGTCGGCCACGGAAATGCTGCAAGTGCGAAAAGTGATGGAACATGTGTATGAAAAGATTCTGAACAGTCCGGAAACAGCCATGGGCGAGACTCCGATGCCAGTGCAAATCCCAACAAATATAGAGCAAAAAATGGAACTGTATTGCAATGATCAAGTGAGGAGACTTAATTAATACAGCAGTTGTTCTGCTATCGATAGAAAATTTCAGAAACTTGACCCTGACATGGATTTGCGATCAGTCAAACATTTTGTCTGGAAACAAGGCGGTGATCTACTTCTATATTATAAGCCTCTAAAATAGAACTTTTTTGCTTGATCATGCCTTTTCAAGTGAAAATACTTCTGCATGAGGAAAGTAGGTGGTATGGGGTTTCTCCTTCAGTCCTCCAGTGTGAGAGTAGTATTTTTTTTATAATCAGCTTAAGTATCACAGTTTTGTTCCTGATTTACTCACTACCTACAGGTTGGTGCTTTTTGCGGCATTACTACTTGAGGCTTCGTCACGCATAGGTGAAGATGGCACATTTAGCTACTCTTCTTCTTGACAGAATTCTTCTTGAGTCTAAAAGTATGGGTCTGATATTGAGCACTAACGCACACAAACCACCAATCTCTGCTTCTGTACAACTTTGTTTTTGTCCCTCTCCCAGTGAGTGGTAGTTTTTCCTGCACCCACCGTCTATTCGTAGTGCATGCTCACTTACCCTCCTGTGCCAACTCCCCTCGTAGCTGAAGTTTGCCAAAAAAAA